TGTCTCAAATCAAGTTTATAGTGCATCATGAATTTAGGCTTGTTCGATCAAAGTTATATTAGGAGATATTAGGAAAATAGTTCGGTCGGCCGGAAGGGAAGTCCAGACTGAGTGTGGTGTGGAGGCAGGATCACCGAGAGACTCGAGATGCTTGTGGGAGTAGTGTACTCATCTAACCGCCATCCAAATGTGTCACCGGTAGAAATACATATATTATGATTGGCTACTGGGACACGTCATACACACGGTTGGATTGTTAATTCGGTTGAAGTACCTTTACATCCATTATCACCATAATCTGAACATGATTTATTAAAAATTTGCAATATCGAAAACGAAAAATCTGAATAAACTGAAAATTTTAAAACTGAAAGCTGCACTCAATTGATGGAAGGCAAAAATTTACTCATAACTAGTAAGGTAATAACTACAAATGAACAGCAGATTTATAAATCTTCTGATAAAAATTAGATAAAAGACATGGTAACTGATAAGAGTTTGAAATTACACGTAAGCAGATAAATTGTCTAAAATTTCTGTCTCAAATCAAGTTTATAGTGCATCATGAATTTAGGCTTGTTCGATCAAAGTTATATTAGGAGATATTAGGAAAATAGTTCGGTCGGCCGGAAGGGAAGTCCAGACTGAGTGTGGTGTGGAGGCAGGATCACCGAGAGACTCGAGATGCTTGTGGGAGTAGTGTACTCATCTAACCGCCATCCAAATGTGTCACCGGTAGAAATACATATATTATGATTGGCTACTGGGACACGTCATACACACGGTTGGATTGTTAATTCGGTTGAAGTACCTTTACATCCATTATCACCATAATCTGAACATGATTTATTAAAAATTTGCAATATCGAAAACGAAAAATCTGAATAAACTGAAAATTTTAAAACTGAAAGCTGCACTCAATTGATGGAAGGCAAAAATTTACTCATAACTAGCAAGGTAATAACTACAAATGAACAGCAGATTTATAAATCTTCTGATAAAAATTAGATAAAAGACATGGTAACTGATAAGAGTTTGAAATTACACGTAAGCAGATAAATTGTCTAAAATTTCTGTCTCTAATCAAGTTTATAGTGCATCATGAATTTAGGCTTGTTCGATCAAAGTTATATTAGGAGATATTAGGAAAATAGTTCGGTCGGCCGGAAGGGAGTCCAGACTGAGTGTGGTGTGGAGGCAGGATCACCGAGAGACTCGAGATGCTTGTGAGAGTAGTGTACTCATCTAACCGCCATCTAAATGTGTCACCGGTAGAAATACATATATTATGATTGGCTACTGGGACACGTCATACACACGGTTGGATTGTTAATTCGGTTGAAGTACCTTTACATCCATTATCACCATAATCTGAACATGATTTATTAAAAATTTGCAATATCGAAAACGAAAAATCTGAATAAACTGAAAATTTTAAAACTGAAAGCTGCACTCAATTGATGGAAGGCAAAAATTTACTCATAACTAGCAAGGTAATAACTACAAATGAACAGCAGATTTATAACTCTGCTGATAAAAATTAGATAAAAGACATGGTAACTGATAAGAGTTTGAAATTACACGTAAGCAGATAAATTGTCCAAAATTTCTGTCTCAAATTAATATATATATATATTTATTTATCCGCACCATTTTACTGACACCACGGCATCAACTTTAACTCGGGTTTCCGCAAAAACCGTACAAGATATAAAACTGAAACTTTTTTAACTGATTCAAATGCTTTAATGGCCTTTATATGGTGTAGGTTTACAACCTACCAGGACACGCGCCGAGTTGGACTCGTCGACGGTCCTAATATATGGAACAAATATTTTACGAGTATCACCCGTTAAATTTATATGTAGCGCGATGCGTAACTGTGCCGCGCCGCGCACTCAATTATGCTTCTCGCAACAACGATCGGCGCGTACGTGCGGCGAAATGCACTACTGGGCCTCACCAAGCTGCGAAGAATTGACAACGTCAATTAAGCTGTTGTCTATCATAAAGTTTTTATGAATGAGCAATAAGACTATTATTGAAGCTTACGTTCACATAGCCATGTGTGTACGCGTACTGCGTGACGCGCTTGTTTCACAAGCGGTCGCGCGCTACTGCAAGCGAGAGGGCTCTGGTTAGAGCAAAAGCTTACGTTAATATTTTTCACGTTGTGGGCACACCGCGCACGAGTACCAAGTACGCGGCCGTATCCTGGCTATATGGCTTTTGCCACGGTAAATGACGATAAGAATCAGAACGTATAACAAAATAATATTATCCAAAATTTAAATCCCTCCTTCAAATAAATAAACGGGAATTATACAAAATCCCAAATTTAGAAATTTATTTCATTGGAATGAAACTATAAATATTCATTAATGATTCACGATGTCGATCATTCGTAGCTCGGCAAAGCCTAGTACTGGTGCACATCCCACCAATTTGTGGTTGCGAGAAGATGCGCAGCGCACCAGTAGTGCATGGCGCTAAAACTACAAATACAAATTAAATACTCAAATATAATTTGTTTGATTCACGATGTCAATCCTTTGCATCTCGCCGATCTGCTTAAGCGGTTGCGAGAAGCATTATTGGATGCGCGCGCGACCCAGTAGTGCATCAAGAAAACAACAAATTTTTTCAAGAAAACAACAAATTTTTATTTAAATCAATTATAGCAACAATTTGAAAAACTTTAAAGCTCTTCTATTACCATGGAATATACTACGGGTATGGTGACTTGGGCTATTGAGTTGTTAAGTAGATTAAGATTAGTAAACCTGCACTTGCATTGTATATTTTATAAAATCTAGAAATTAGGCCTCACGGTAAAATGGAGAAGCAGGCTGATCTTGGAGAGAGCAGACCGTAAAGTTTACGCACCCACCAGGGCTACCTACCTACCCCAGTTGTTCTTTTTGGTTTATCAGCTTGTATTGTTATATTTATGGACCCCAAGTCACCACACTAAGAAGGAGTATGTAAAAAAAAAAAAAAAAATAATAATAATAATAAATTAAGTTAATATCATCATATCTGTTTAAAACAGTAAAAATCAAGTTGAGGATTGACTTTCCTAGTTAATTTAAAGGTTCAAACGTTTGGGAATATAATAATGTTGGTATTTGTATCTGCTGCAGCAATAATATCGAAATATCATTTGTCTAGAAAATTTTCGCCACTTCAATAGATATTGGGTCGGCAATTTGGTGAGTGAGTGATGAGATGGTTTGGTCTGTGATTGAGTGAGGGGCGATGTGGAAGTTGTGGTAAGTCCAGGTGTTATTATTATTGATGGATTGAGATCCCAGGATGATACTTTTACAGCGCTACAAATAATTTGTGTATTGATTTAACTTTATACCTGGCTTATTAGTTTATTGCTTGCTTCTTTATTACGTATAGAGGACCATGTATGCAAGATCTATAAAAGATTGCCGTGCATAGACAATAGAGACAGGCACGTTTGGTAAAATTTAACGGGTGAAATTTGAAAAATATTTGCTCCAAATATTACTGTAAACAAGTCAAACTCGGCGTGCGTCTTGGTAGAATACTCAAATAATACTTTTAGCTACTACATTGTCCATTGTTAATGGACTACCCTGGCGTAGCACTATTATTGGGCTACAAAGGAAATCGGTGTGAAATTTTGTCGTAAATTGCAGCAGTTTGCAATGTTTTTGCTCCCCTATAACCCCCTAAAATAATACATGCTCTGAGCAAGCCTTTTCTCAACGGGTGATACTCGTAAAATATTTGTTCGACGAGTCCAACTCGGCGCGCGTCCTGGTAGGTTGTAAACCTTCAAGCCTTTTCTGCTAGGTGATTGAAGATATGCCTCAATACAAGATGCCTCAATACAAGAACTGAAATGCCTCTGGTGCTATTTTTCCTATTGTACTGAAAATTAGTATAGTATAGTGGGGGTGATGGAGGCTTTTTCGACATTCTGTAGTATTTGATTGTATTCACGTTTTTGCTGTTGTTTGTTAATTGAGTCCGAAAATGCTTATTACTAATGTTTACATTTTTTAGTTTTTACTGGCTGCTCTTAATCATTATCCTTCTTAGGTTACTCCCTCAGTACATCTGAATTGTAGTGTTTTGTAAAGACAGTACTATACCATACTATACTATAATACCTATCCAATAACATGTGTACACTAAACATTACTCCACGACAATAACTTTAATAACTTCGACATTAAGCCTATAGGACATTCTTCGTCTATTTTCATAACTCTCACGTGCTATTCAGGAAGTGTTAACAGTTAATACAAGGCGAAACAAGATAACCCATCATCTTAATTAATTGGTCTTACCTTGTATGTCAAGATGCCCTTTAAAACGTATAAATATATTTAAAATTGCTTTTAAGTGGTCTCTAGATACATATGCATAGTTGAATCATATTTACCCATAGTGTATGTATTAACTGGCACAGGATAGTAGGGGGCCTTGTTAAAAGATCATGGATCTTGTAGGGGCGTCCTTCAGTACAATTTAATGTTTATTATAAAATAAAACAAATTTTAAGGAACATGCAAATATTTGTATTGTTTTTGTCGCAAATTTTCTTTTCCAAGAAGTGCCTACTTGATATACTACTTTATTGAAGTTTTATCTTTTTACTCTGCAGGGGTATTTCACAAAATTTGCTGTGCATGTTGGGACTCAAAAGCATTTAGTGTTATCACTATCCTCTCACCACACTGTGAAAACAGTCATCTTTTTGGCTCCTCTTTTCACACAAGAGGACGATGTGATGCATGAATACAGTCACTTAATTAGTTCAAAAGTTCTAGGCTACAAAAGTTTATATATGCATTTGTATAGTACTATTAGGTTGCAAAACCTATAGCAGAAGAGTGGCATTTTTCTGTACCAGCTTCTATTATAACATTGCCCAAGTTCCACCAAACTATAAATTTTTTTGATGACATGAAAAGAATAGCAAATAACGCTAAATTTAGTTTATTCAATAACTTTATGGTATTTCTTAGAAAGCCTAGTCTCATGTTCTGGTGAAAGTATAATCAGAGACAATGATAGGCATCTTGATATCGTGCCTCCTTCTTGTCCGCTCCTCTGCTAATATTCTTGATGAGGGAGATTTTGTCCTGGACGATGAAGGCGTTGATCTTACAGGTCAGTAAGCTAAGACACATCTTCACAATTGGTTATAACATAACGTTTACCATAATTTGGCTCAATCAAGTATCCAGACTGTAAGATGATATGTTATTAACTTTTATAATTTCAGATTGGGCTGATGTGGATCATGATAATAAACTAGAATTTGATATAATGACCTACCCTCTGCAAATAGAAACGAAATCATCCCTTGGTAGTGATGATAAGGTCTCAATACGCTTTTGGGGAGAAGGGAGTGTGATTGGCGATCTGACTATTACTTTTGGAGCAGAGCCAACTTACACTATCTCTCCGTGTACGGCAATTCAAATGAAGTTCAGCTCATTACCTGAGGATGATACTAAATTCTGGACCATCAAAAAGAAGGACAATTCATTGACCTTGGAATGCAATGATGTACTTGTTCTAGAATATGTATTTGAAAGCTCAGAAGAAGCTCAATGTAGTGTCTCCTGGAGTCAAGATGTTGATTCTATAATGTTCCTGTCTGTCGACACTGCCTCTGTCCGATTCAGAGGTGTTGGTACAGGTACGTTAATTGAGATGTTTTTAGTAGTGTTTCCATTGATTAGTAAAGATAACTTATAATTGGAACCGCTTGAACTACCTATAGTCATCACATGATTCCTCCTGCAGATGAGTACGAGTCTCTGTGTGCAAATAGTAGCTGTTACCCAAGATGGGGTAATCTTCTGAAGGGAAGACGAGTTACAGCTAATTCCACCTGTGGGCAAGAAAGTGCTGAGGTAATGATATGCCCAAAAATAAGCAGTATTTCTGAACACTTGACTTAAATTAAAAGTTACTAATTAATCTCGATTAACATATTACCACCAAGTAATATAAATGACTGCAGGAATATTGTCTTATCTCTAACGACCGAGAAGAGATCATGTGTGACAATTGTGACGCCAGTAACATCTACAAACAACATCCTCCAAACTACATGAAAGATAGGAGAATCAAGTCTCGCACTACTTGGTGGAAAGCTGAGAATGGTAAGAGTTGTCCAGGATGATTGAAATGAGGGGGGGGCAGGAACTGTTTGTCTGTCTCCAGTTGAGAGTTTTAGTGAAGCGGACAATGTAAATGTGCACAATGTTGGTATTTTGTTGCATTTTACCAGGGGTAAATATTCGTCAGTGTCGCTCATGTAGAAATAAGACAAAATAAGACAAAATAAGACATTCCTGTCGATAAAATACTTTATCCTTGTAACAAAGAGTTTAAGTAATTATCCTTTGTTAACAAGTGTAAGCACAGCACGACACACTAATAAACATATTACTCCTAGTAGTATAAGTCTTAGTTCCCTTTCTTCTTAAATACTATAACAAAGTAACACTAATATTCGCTACAGTATAGTTTGATTAGAGAGGCATGTTACCCTGAATACCTGTTCAGGTTTGGACAAGGTAACACTACAGTTGGACCTGGAGACTACATTCCAGTTTACTCATCTCATCATGGTCTTCTACTCTTTCCGTCCTGGTGCTATGGTTATCGAAAGGAGTACTGACTACGGCAAAAACTGGATTGTAAGTTCAATATTTTGAAAATGTTCCTGTTTGCATTCTTTTCCAATGAATAATGATCGTTTCTTTGCATTTGGTGTTAATTTTAATTTTCATGAATGTTGTGTGATATTTGATACTTCTTAGAATATAATATTAATCGTAAGACTGGTTAAAGAAGAAATATAAGCATTTGAATTAACACTTCCCTCTCAGCCGTACCAGTATTTCGCGTACGACTGTCAGAAGGTATTCGGGATGAAAGAGCGGGAGCTGGGGGAGCAGGACGAGTACGGAGTTAGACGTCATCCGGACGAGGATGTTATCTGTACCAGCAAATATAGTTTCTTAGAGCCTGCTCAGGGTGGGGAGGTCATTTACAAGGTTAGTGTTGAATGTATGTACCAGCAAATACAGTTTCTGAGAGCCTGCTCAGGGTGGGGAGGTCATTTACAAGGTTATATACACAAAACACTTTCCTTAGTATACGCTATTTAATTAAGAAAAGTAGGCGCCTGATTCATTCCATTTTATCTCGCTCCACCCAACTTATTTTGAGTTCACATTGTAAATTGGTAAGGGAGAGTTGTTCATTATTACTAGGCGTGCCCCCCGTGCTATTCGATCAGACATATTAGTATCTTGCTCTGCATATTCCTGGTATGTATAACTGGGGAGGATAATTTAATATTCCTGCAAACTAGGACTAGTGTGAGATCACTTCAAGCAAACTTTAAAGGAAACTCCCGTCATGTTATGATGATGCAATCTTGATCGCAAAATAGAAATAGATGTCATAGATCATCTCGTATAAAGGTATCATGCCGGATATTGTTCAAGAAAAAAGATGTGTGTATGGTAAAATGTAAATGATTATAATATTGTAGCCACAATGCTTTGCAATGAAAGAGGTCGAAATGAGCAGCCCTAAATATTTGCATGGCGTTAAATTACAAAAGGAGAGATTCAATTAACACGTGATGAATTGAACAGATGAGATTTCACACGTGATATATGAACAGATGAGATTTCACACGTGATATATGAACAGACGAGATTTAACACGTGATATATGAACAGATCTCAGTTAACAAGATCTCTGTGTGCAGGTAGTAAGAGGTCGTCCTACTAGCAACACTAACAGGGCCTCTCTCCGTAACCTCCTCCTCCTCACCAACCTCAGAGTGAGGTTTGTTCAGCTACATACTCTCGGAGACGACCTTTGGGACCCTAACGATGCTGAAGCTAAGAAGAGGTGAGTGCATATTCATATTCTACATTTACTCGCATATTAACAACTTATCAATCACATAATAAAAACTTATTAACAACATATTAACCACATCCTAACAACTTCTCTCTGAAAAGTACCAACAATAGCTAGCTTCGTGCTGTGTCACTTTTTACTTGTTCGTTTTGAGAATATCAGGTATCTTGGTGATTAAACTCCTTATTAGGGCATCCTTGTGATTAATTTATCTTAGACTTGGAACTACTCTTGACATTGTTAAATTGTTATACCGCGAACTAAAAACTTATGACTCATCGCCTAAATGTTTAAAGGCAGTGCGTACCTGACTGTCCTAAGTGAAAAGATCATGTCCTAACATATCCGTCTTTCTAACATCACGCCGAAGGAGTATCAGTTCATTCCATAAAATTAGACTCCAGTAACAAATGACGAGGCTTACATTCCTAGCCGCCCCCTAGCGACCCTAACTTTATTACCTCCTCGTTTTTACACACGGCTATCGGAGGTTAAACGTAACACGATTGAGAGCAGACACTATTAGATAATATCTGCTTTGTAGTGTACAAGATATTATTAATGATTACCACTACTACTGTTACTACCACTACTACCACTGTTACTACTACCATAAAGGAAGGTTAAAAGCCCCTAATCTTAATATTCCTCCCCAGGTATTTCTACGCAGTAGAAGATTGGGTAGTCCGAGGAAGCTGCTTCTGTAACGGACACGCTGATTTGTGTACTCCCTTGCCTGGTGAGTACTCAGTGTTACACTAGTGTTACACCAGTGTTACAGTCTACTGTAACACTGGTGTAACACTAGGAGTAGTCAGTGTGACACTTGGTTTGTTAGAGCTTTAGAGTCGGGGTTCTAGAAAATAAACAATATTTATCCAAACTCAACAACATAGTAAAACTAAGTTACACACAGCATAGTAAAACTAAGTTACACACAGCATAGTAAAACTAAGTTACACACAGCACTGCAGCACAGTAAAACTAAGTAACACACAGCACAGTAAAACTAAGTTACACACAGCACTGCAGCACAGCAAAACTAAGTAACACACAGCACTGCAGCACAGTAAAACTAAGTTACACACAGCACTGCAGCACAGTAAAACTAAGTTACACACAGCACTACAGCACAGTAAAACTAAGTTACACACAGCACTGCAGCACAGTAAAACTAAGTTACACACAGCACTACAGCACAGTAAAACTAAGTTACACACAGCACTACAGCACAGTAAAACTAAGTTACACACAGCACTACAGCACAGTAAAACTAAGTTACACACAGCACTACAGCACAGTAAAACTAAGTTACACACAGTAACCACTGTCTTGTCCCAGGAATGGAAGGTTCTGAGCAGATAAAGAACATGATAAACGGACAGTGTGAGTGTGAGCACAACACTGCTGGTAGTAACTGTGAGCGGTGTAAGGACTTCCACCACGCCCTGCCCTGGTCTCCTGGTGACCCCAACTCTGGGGAGGCACACTCTTGTAAAGGTTAGTCATTTTAGTTACTTGCTGCTGTTTGTAAGCAAGTTAATGGTAACTGCAACTGATTGAATGATTTCTCTTTTACTTAAGGTTGAAGGTTATACGTAGTTGAAAATGGAAACTATAGAAACGTACTGAAGTTACAATATTTAGAAAACATTTAAATACATAGGTCACAATATCTACATAATATTATTTATATAATATGTCCATATTATGACGTATCACACTATTATTACATTCCAATTAAAACGATTAATAATTTATTTTTGTTGATTCTTCGTTTAACACTTCCTAATCTGATATATATTCTTTATAAAATGTACCGTACCGTAATTTAATGTATTCAGTTCGTCAATCACACTTGCAAAAGCCATTAGCTTGTAAAGAGTACTTTACAAGTTTTTGAAACTTCCTACTTTTATCAATCAGCAGTTAATTGATAGCACATTAAGATCATTATTCACATATTACAAGCTCTGTTCAGTGTTCATGTCTAACTGAGCTACTACAACTAGTAAAACTACAATCTAGAAGACAGCCTCTGTACTGCAGCCTCCCTACTCTATATCTGGAATTAGACATCATCAGCTTTAAGAGTGACTCACAGTTACTCTCATCACACTTTCTACAATCTCATGTAACCACATTCAAAGCTGTGAATCTAGAAAATATCCTCTAAATAGTTTGTTCATGAAGGCAGCTAGTTGAAGTTTTTACCCCGTTTTACTGTCTCTACTTCTTGAGGAGATGTAACGTTTCCACACTAGCTGTATCGGGGTCTACCTTCTCGTAGCAGCTCATTGGAGAGAGGTAGTTATCAGAAAGGGAGGGGAGGGAACTAGAATCTTGTTGGGACGAGTGGTGGACTGTCTCCACTGAGGGGAATATTGTAGACAAGTCTGAGAAGGAGAGGCAGATCCTACTGTCTAGGTGGAGAGTGTTGTTACCACCTGGGGAGGGGTGGTGTATCCCCCACCCGTACCCCTCCTTCACCACTTGGTTCCAGGTCATGTTGGCACGCTCTGAGGGGGTTTCTGTTAGTGAGCTATTCGACCTGTTCCTCTTCATGTGGAGGTTATATCTTGTGGAGCTGTTTGCTTCCTCCCCATTCAGATTCAAGCTCCCACCTACTCCTCCTCTCCCTCTTCCTCCCTCTCTCATTTCTTCTTCTCCTCCTTCCTCGTCGTCCGAGTTCCTCATATCCTCCATAATTTTTTCTCGTACCTGTAAAAATTAAATATATTTTAGTGAACTTGCTTATTAAATACTTTGTGGTAGAGAATAACCCGTTTGAGGACCGCTTTAGAACGAAGGATGATAATAAAGAAAGGTACAGTTGTAAAACACACAGGGTCTCAAGTGGAGGCCTAAATCTAATTAGTTGCGGTTATGCAGGTTAGGCAGGTAGGTTAATACACAGGATCAAGCGGTGTAGAGGTGTGGTATTCGCTATAATAAGATTGATTCTGTGTAGAGTCATGCTAAAGATAGACTTGAGAAATAAGATTAGGTTATCTAGGCTGCATTCATATTCCTGATTTATTGGGATTAGAGTTTATACCTTCCGTTATATTATGGTCATAGCGAGGCAATATTATATTCGTGAACTATCAACTTTAAAATGTTAGTTTAGACCCTGTGTTTAATTTTACCTCATTGTTTTCCCTCTTTCTCTTGATGTCCTGGTAGTACCCATCAAACTTAGACATTATCAGAGGCATTGGTATGGCAATGAGAGGGAGCCCTAACAGAGCTAGTGCTGCTCCTACTGACTTTCCTCCTGGAGTTATTAATGTGAGGGGGGGGGGGTACAAATACTGCTTAGAAACACTACAACTTTTCTGACAATTCTAACTGAAACTAACCTGCAGTTTTGGGATAGATATCTCCATAACCAACTGTAGCAATAGTGATAGTGCCCCAGTAGATGGCATCGAACACACTAGAAAATGTTCTGAAATGATCCTTATCATCATCTGCGTCATCCTCCTCGATATAATACGCTAAAGTAGCGAAGATGAACGTCACTAGGAAGATAAGCACCATGACCTGAGCTAGGTCAGCTAAGGAGCGCTTCAGAGCAACTCCCATTGAGAAGAGCAGCTCAGAGTAGCGAGCCATGTTGAACAGCCGCAGAAAACCACCTATCCGCACTATGGCTATCAGTCCTATTATCTTATCCTCTTCTGTTACCTTTAGGTACATTCCAAAGTCTACCATGAAAGAGACGATAACTACAACGTCCACAACAGACATGAACTGCAGGAGAAAGTTCTTCTTGTCCGGTGCTATGAGGAGTCTTAAGATGAATATACCCAGGAACCAGATAATACACATAGACTCACTAGCAACTATCTGTACTTGATTGGAACTACCTTGCAGTGAGTTCTCAGTTCTCAGACACTGCAGAGTAACAAACACTATTGTCATCCCCACGTCAAACACGGCCAGAGCCTTCCAACCAATAGTAGTGGTATCTTGTACAATAGCGTGCACTCTTTCGAGCAAGTCAGATCTTTGTTTTGGAGGTCGGGTTTTGCGGGGGAGAGAGTCCTGATCATCCACCATGAAGTAGTTGAGGAGCGGGAGTTTGAAGAACTTGGACTCTTCCAGGAATATATCCTGCTCTACGTTGATGGGCTGTATCAAGCTACCTTGACTCTGGTAGAAGTACAGGATAGACTCGAATGATTGTCTACATCTGTGGAACACCAGAGCTTGTCTCTCTTCGTCCCAGTACTTTGCTCTCTTCTTAACGTTTCCTAACAGGGTATCAGGGAATCTCTGCAATGTTTCTTCAAGTGTTTTAAAGTAATATCCAGACACGTAAATATTGACATAGTTAAAGGATTTCCTGTTGTAAACTGCAGGAGAGGACCCGCTGAAGATAGGGTCTTGTTTAGAGTTGTCTCCTAGAATCTGCTGTTCGGTCTGTTTATCCACGTGGTTGAGAGTGGGATACGAGGTTGAGCGAGGGAGGGAGGGAGGATTCACTCTGTCTGTATTCATAACAGGGGGGAGATGGTTCACTATATCCATTACTGAGGATTATGTGGTGAGCAAGCGAGAAATATCCACATTATGTAACTAATACTGTAAAATAACGGATATTTGGTATGTGATCCTGAAGAAAAGAGATCTAGAAAGAGAAGGATACGTATGGGGAAGAGGACAGAGGCACAAGGCAGGCAGGGTAGGCAGTACCTGCAACTCACACTAGTAACTACTGACAAAGCGAACAAAAACAAGTATAGACCTCCAACGTGATGTAGATCAAGCCGTGTGTGTGTGATTTGTATGATAACATAGTAGTAGTACGCTACATAGTAGTATAAGGCTACATGTATCTAGTAGCACGATACATGTCTACATTCAGAGACCTGCTGCATGTCCAGGCTTATTAATTAACCAACAGAAGAACACTAACCTGCAAAGAGAGCCATCCTCAACTACAACTACTACTACTACTACTACTACTACTACTCCCCAAATGAGAGTATTCTGGATTACTATTTCCTACTGGCTTTATCGGACTGAGACCAGCATTCAAATGATTTTCTGTTAATTTTCTATTGTGACCAATTCTGACGGTGGAATAGTGAATTGTCTTCAATGTCATTGTGATGAGGATATATTTTATTAATATCATATATTTGTGTTATTATTATATTGTTGCGAACTTCGAGCCATCGTGACTGAACCTAACTAAAGAAAATCGGTATAATTTGAAGGGAGTTATAAGAAAGTTAGCAAACAAGGTCTGTTAAAACCAACAGTAAGAACAGTGTTAGAAGCAATGATCTGACTAACAAGGGTTGTGAGCATGAGGGGTCCTGGTTTTAGGCCGTTTTCTGTCAACAACGTTCCGCGAAATCACAAACACTAACTATTTTACTATTCTTGGGCATTCTTAAAACACAATTATTAAGTTTTGAGGTGTAAAATATTTTAAAGAATGTGTTAATATTTGAGGCGCTGGATTACAGCTGCATTTCCAAGGGATCTTTTGTAATACATTGTCAACAAGTGAAAATATCGAGACTAAATTTATCGACTGCAATCACAAATGTATGTCTAACATAATCCTGTTTGATAATCCTATCATTGTGACTATTATTGTGACTAAAAATCATTAGATCCTTATAATTGGGACTGACAGTGGTCTCTTAACCACTTTATCGCCCAGTGACTGTCCTATATAGATACTACTAATACTACAAACTAATACTACAAACTAATACTTAAAACTAATACTAAAATCTAATACTACAAACCAATACTACAAACTAATACTACAAACTAATACTTAAAACTAATACTAAAATCTAATACTACAAACCAATACTACAAACTAATACTACAAACTAATACTACAAACTACTACTACAAACTAATACTACAAACTAATACTACAAACTAATACTACAAACTAATACTACAAACTAATACTACAAACTCATACTACAAACTAATACTAAAAACTAATACTACAAACTAATACTACAAACTAATACTAAAAACTAATACTACAAACTAATACTACAAACTAATACTAAAAACTAATACTAAAAACTAATACTACAAACTAAATACTAATTGAGTTTGTAGCGTATATATGACGCTTTGCCCTTGTAGAGGTTGGTGTTATACCGGGATCTTGAGGACTAGTTCAAGTACTTTTTTAGGCGTCTAATACAAAGTGATACTCGTTATATTAGTTTGACTTCTTGAAAGGTAAAGTCAACAAAGGCTTTTTAGAATATGGGAACTAAACACAAGTTCATTTGTATCTCTCAAAACGGTTCAGACAGACTTATTTTACAATCGTAGCCACGGACGGCTATGGAGGTGAAAGACGAAAGTAGTGTCATGTGAGTCGTGTTTCTCAATTGTCATTGGCTGATGTTAAGATAGTGTTAGGACGGTGAAAGGTAAAGGTAGGTACTTAGTCTTAAGGTTTCTGAGAATGAATTCGTAGGGGAGGTATTACTAATAGGTGTGAACTTGAAGTGTTGAAACTTGTAGGCAATGCTTTGTGAAATTAGTATGAGTTTATTTGAAGCCGTCCAGGAATAAAACATGAAATATTAGAATTAAAATTAAGAAATGAAATTATATGCTCTACAATCTTCCGTTCAGAAATTTAGTAAAATTTAAGACCCTCCAATAATTTAGTAAAATGTATTAGGATTATAAAATAACAGGTATTACAGTTGATGTTTTTGCAAAACATCAATTAATAAACATTTAAAAAAATTTAAACGAGTAAAACATACGAAAATGTTAGTGTTTTATACTGTTAACTTAACCTTCGATATCGATTCGTTTCATTTCGTAAGTTAACTTCTACACGTATACTTCTATTCGTCTTTCGTTTTAAATTCGTTCTTGTTACACAAAAATAAATTCGTTACATTAAATAATCATGTGATTCGGCTCACTGATCATCCAGGGTGCATTAGGCGCCCTTTCAGATTAAAAAGTTTAAATAGAAAAATTAATTTAGTCCAAATCGGTATCCGTTTCAGAATCCGAGTCTAACACATTCATCTTGTAGGTAAAGGGTGCTGGGTGATTGTTAGTTAATACTCATTGCGTTTTAGGAAGTAGGCTGATTAGTAGTTGCAATGAGTATTTTGAGAGTTGGAATTCGAAAAGGGAGATTAGGAATATTCAAGGTCCGCAAAAGTGCTTGATATGATTATGGCTTTTTTAGGAATGTTCACAAAAGAGCAGTTTCAAAGCAACATTCTCGAAATTAGCGCCTAATTACGAAAAAGGATTGTTGTCCGATTAGTTAGTTTTTACCAAATGAGGTGTCTAGACATTCATTATTAGGTATAGTGAAGACATTTTACGGTTTACAGGTGATAGGAGACTATAATAGAGGTACTGTGGGTACGGGAAATCGGTGGTAAAGTTACAGAGCCATGTGCGTCTGGCGCGGGTTTACTGACCACTCAGGGCGCCAGCTCCTTGTGACAGCAAACCTCTACACATGGTGACTCCGCATTACTCGAGATCAGACTTATTTAGCCAGGTCACTGATTTCCCGATGGCCGATACCGACATTTATCACAGTCATTTGGTGTATGAATAAGTCCATTGAGATAAGACTTTCTTGATGCACCACGGATCCCTGTAGTACTTTCTGAATTTACGGTAATGTTTGATGGAAGGAGATAAAGGTTTCAGGACCAATACCTTGTCACCTCTTTTGTCTGTTCTGCGGAACCTTCTCGTTTTATCGTGAAAAGTCTTGTGGCGTATTTGACTTACACTAATGTTGTTTCTTACGACATTGTACAAGTCTTTCATATCGTGGTACGTGGCTGGAGCGAGATGAGCACCGGATTTATAATATACTGTGCTATCGGTTTTTAGGGATGCATGAGGATCAATAGGGGTATCAGAGTTCCTGATTGGAGTGGAGTCCTGTTTAGTGGATTCCTCTGATTCGGTATCCATTTTATCTTCGTTGTTAGTCTTCACTTTGTTCGCAACGCATATAAAGTAAGTTTGTGTAGGGAGACTTTCGAAGGCAGTATGGTTCACCAAAGGTGACTTTGATAGGCTTTTCTCTCTCAAAGCCGGGTTATTTTCTACAGCATGTTGAGGGAGAGGTTCTTTCTTGAAGTTATTCTGTTTCTTTGTGTGCGTGTCTGCAGTATCATGCTCTTTTTGAGATTTAAGGTCAAACATTAATATTAAATCTTTGACGCTGTATTGCGGCTTAGTTTCAAGGCTCGAGTCTCTTTGGACTCCTGGAGGAGGTGACTTTCCGACAGGAATAGGTGATTCTGTGACAGGAGAGAATAATTCTTTGACAACAGAAGGTGGTTCTTTGACAGGAGAGGGTGGTTCTTTGACAGGAGAGAGTAATTCTTTGACAACAGAAGGTGGTTCTTTGACAGGAGAGGGTGGTTCTTTGACAGTAGAAGGTGGTTCTTTGACAGGAGAGGGTGGTTCTTTGACAGTAGAGGGTGGTTCTTTGACAGGAGAGAGTGGTTCGTTGACAGGAGAATGTGATTCTTTGACAGTAGAGGGTGGTTCTTTGACAGGAGAGAATAATTCTTTGACAACATAAGGTGGTTCTTTGACAGGAGAGGGTGGTTCTTTGACAGTAGAGGGTGGTTCTTTGACAGGAGAAGGTGGTTCTTTGACAGGAGAGAATAATTCTTTGACAGGAGAAGGTGGTTCTTTGATAGGAGAGGATAATTCTTTGACAGGAAAGGGTGGTTCTTTGATAGGAGAGGGTGGTTCTTGGGAGTTGGGTGGTCTTTCGCAAAGATTAGCAATGAAGGAATAGTTGCTCACCGTCTTATTATTAAAGTCTAGGATCATCCCGTACTTTTCGAAGAAGATTTGTCCTAGAATACACTCTTCTTTCATTTTAGATGTAACCACAAGATCTATTTCGAAAACAGTTCCCTTAATAATGACATGAGCACCTCGAATGACTCCTAGAACTTGTAATGGCATACCCGTTATCCCTACTAGTTTGAAAGTGGCGTTTTTAACCAGGTATAAGAGATTATGTTTTTTGACGAAGTCTTCGCTTACTAGGTTCATAGAGGCTCCAGTATCTGATTTGATTTGAAACTTTTACAAAATAGCAAGTATACAAATGTACAGCAATTCGAACAAATATATAAAATGGGCCGAAATGTATAAATGCTAAAAAGCGTGGGTCAGTGAAACAAGTACAGAGGACAACTTTCAGAACAGAAGTTTTTTGGCCGCCCAAAGTCTCAATAACATCACCTCCACCTAGTAATAAAATTATGAAACGTGAAAAGTGTGAAACAATCAAATAATAATGTATTTATATAATATAATTGTCTCTCAAATACAGATAACGTCCGTAAACTCTTAAAATACTCCTACAAGTACATATTATACTGATCGGTGTCCGAGAAACATGAATTACGTCATCATGGTGCCTTCTTAACACGGCTACAGACCTTCCCGTTACAGATGTAGTGGTCGAGATGAGTCTGTTCAGCCCTCTTCTTCTTCAGGTCAGTTACCACGTTC